ATACCGGGTTTTCATCTTTTCAGACATTTGCTGGCCCGATTGTCTGACGTGTTGTACACAAATGTCATTCATTTTGTTCCGCAAGTCATTTGCATAATCGGTTATACTGCGTGGGGCATCAGGTGGTATCCCGGTGATCAGGTCTGCAGGCAGCCTTAATTCTCTTCCAAAGTTTGCGAAAGCTGGTGTCACTGATGTACTTTCGTGAACAGCGCTTCGATATGACAACAAAAACGGTTGTATGTGCTTGTGCCAATCTCGTTGCCGATTGTCAACAACTTTTGCTACCATTCCATCAGATTGCGGGTGATAAGAAATTGTTCTTGTTTTATGAGTCCCCATAACTCGGCAAGCTTCATGGAATATTTGAGACTCAAAATTTCTTCCTTGATCGCTGTGAATCTCTAAAGGTACTCCAAAACGGCAGAAGACTTCATAAACTAGTTTATCTGCAACTGTTGAAGCTTCTTGATTTGGAATGGCGAAGACTTCTGGCCCCTTAGTGAATTAATCCATCACAAACATGAAATACTTGTTACTGCTTTCACTCTCCGGAAACGGCCCCGCCACTTCAATGGCTATTCTCTCCCATGGTGCACCGACATTGTACAACTTCAATGCACCTCTACTACGAGTCTGAGGTCCCTTTACAGCCGCACAACTTGTATATTTGCGACACCACATCGTTTTGGTGCGTTATTGGGTTCACCACAGTGGACCCAATAAAACCGTTCTCGGATCTTCAGTAGAGTTCGTTTAACTCCCAGATGGCCTCCTGAATAATCATTATGGTACAGCTGTAGAACATCCTGTACTTTAGCTTTAGCGACAACCATTTGCAAATGACAGCTGTCTTCCCGAACATTTTCCCATTTACGGCACAGAACTCCATCCTGAAGCAGCAAGCTGTCCCACTGGGCCCAATAACTTTTAGTGGTCAAACTCATCGCTGAGACGTCGCTCCATTTGTGCTTGGGAGCACTGGCCTTCATACGCTCCAGAATCGGCTTGATGTCCGCAACTTCCTGCTGTGCACATTGTAAGCTGTCCTTCCACTCGTTGCTGAGATGGTCTGCCCTGAGCATCCTCACGGATACTACTTCCTTACTCTCTTGCCTAGTACAATGTTTGCAATCTTCAGGACAAGGTCTTCTTGACAATGCATCTGCGTTGCCATGAGATTTCCCGCTGCGATATTCGAACTCAAATTCGCATTCCTGCAGTAGTTCAATCCACCTCGCAACTTGTCCTTCTGGATTTTTAAACTGCAATAGCCATTTTAGTGCAGCATGGTCAGATCGTAAGTGAAATTTTCGCCCCAGAAGATATTTCCTAAAATGCTGCAACGACTTTACCACAGCTAGCAATTCGCGTCTTGTGACGCAATAGTTCCTTTCCGGTTTTGACAACGACTTGCTGAGGTACGCTATCATGACCTCTTTGTCACCATTTCGTTGAGATAACACACTGCCAAGTCCTATATCACCTTCGTGTGTGTCAACTATAAATTCTTTGCTTGCATCAGGGTATCCCAAAATAGGTGTTTTGCACAGACGGTCCTTGAGCTCCTGGAATTTGATATTGCAACTTTCATCCCAGCAGAAATGTCGCTTCTCCTCGGTTAGCTTATGCAGAAGTTTGGCTATATCTGCAAAGTTCTTTACAAAACGCCGGTAATAGGAGCACAAACCCAAAAATGCTCTAACCTGCTCGTGTTTCCTGCTGCATGTCTTGTCTTTCCGAACCGGCCAATCCTTTACAGCTGCGATTTTCTCTGAATCCATGCGGATACCTTCTTCCGACACTACATACCCCAAAAAGTTGACTTGCCGTTTGAATAGTGAACATTTCTTCGGACTCAACTTGAGGTTGGCACTCTGAATCTTCATGAGCACGCGTTCCAGATTTTGAAGGTGTTTCTCAAACGTACGGCCCACGATGATGATGTCATCCAAGTAAACCAGACAGGCATCGCCAATTAGCCCGGTAAGTACAAGTTTCATCAGCCTTACAAACGTTGCTGGAGCATTGCACAACCCAAACGGCATTACTTTAAATTGCCACAGACCCTTTCCCGTCGAGAACGCAGTTTTCTCCTTTTCCTTAGGGTCAATTTCAAATTACCAGTAGCCACTTTTTAGTTCCAGCGTGCTAAACCACTTTACTCCTGTAAGCATGTCCAGCGTGACATCAATTCTTTGCAAGGCATAGCTGTCCTTCGTCGTAACGTCATTCAGACGGCGGTAGTCAACACAAAACCGCATGCTGCCATCCTTCTTCTTTACCAGCACCACGAGTGAACACCATGGACTAGAGGAAGGTTCAATAACACCGTCCTTCACCATTCTTTCAATCATGGTTTCTACTTCCTTTTCACGAGCTACCGGCAATCTTCTTGGCCGCTGACGGATAGGCAATTCTTTTCATGTGTCTATTTTGTTTTGAACTAAGCCAGTCTTTCCTATGTCAGCATCTTTTGATGAAAATACATCGGCGTGCTTGAGTAACATCTTCTTTGCCTTGATCATTTCGTTCGGGGAGAGAACGCTGCGACAGTCTTCTAAAAGTGTGCTCACTCTCGTTTGTGCATCCTTGCTTGGGGTCCCAGTCGATAGATATTGGCACCGACGTAGCCAATCCACTTCCTCACAAGTACCAACCAGTGTGCATTTTTCTATAATCTGTTCCTGGTCACGAAGTTTCAGCACACGTACTCCTGAGATGTTAGTGGTCCTGACCAAGGTTCGAGCTACTTTCCATGGAAGGTTAATGTCTAACCTTTCCACGAGTACACAACGATGAGGTTGTCCAAGATTCCGAGGAAGACTAACCGGCACAATCGTTTTCGATCTCGGCAGAAGAACAATCTTCTTAAGGCTGTACACGTTCCCTGGTAACGCCCCTTCCACAAAAAGTTCCTCTTGTCCACACTTCAAAACACCTTGCTTAACGTCAATCGCACAACAATTCTTCCTCATGAAGTCTAGGCCCAGGTCGTCCATTATATCAGCCACGATGACATTATGCAGGTAGATCATGTTGCCTAGCTTCAACTCCATCTCTTTCTCTCCACGGACGGGTATACGCTGACAGGTGGCTGTTACCAAATTAATGTGTTCTCGGTTGTATGCGGAGTTCCCAAGGAACTGACATATAAGTTGGGAACAAACAACCGTACGAGAGGCCCCAGTATCTATGGTCAGTTTACACGATATTCCGTTGAACTCGCCCTTGATGATCAGACTGTTTCCATCATGGGTTTGTGAGATCGAGATCCTTGGGGCTCTTTTAACATCAGCCAGCACCCGCCCCACAGTTCTGGATTTTTCTAGAGCGGGGCTGTTTACCGCACCACCCTCCTGATATCGTTCACCTTCCCTTTCTACGGTTCGCTTGGGGAAGCTGGATCGAAGATGGTCCCTTTCCCCACAGCCATAGCACTTAGGGCTGTATCCTTTATTACGGTCGCGAACTGTAGCTGCTGCAACCTCCCTGACACGATGGGATTGATGATCCCGCCGCACGACTTCCACCTCCAGTGCATGGGCCAAGGCGTCCTTAAGTATATCGTGGTGCCCGATCTTCACAGCAGCTCTGACTTCCAGGTCGCGGATGCTGTCGATAAATGTCTACACCAGGTTCCCCTCAATGAGCGCAGGTACAGACCGATACGCTTTTCGAACCAGCTTCTCCACCTCTAGAGCCCACTGTTGCAGGTTTTCGTTGATGCGCTGCACGCGATCTTTAAGCTGCGCACGAAAGACGTGTTTCAGGTGGGCGTCACCATATCTCGCCTCCAATGCCTCAAGGAGTTGCTCATAAGTCACTTCGCCACCAAGAGCTTCCATAACTGTTAAGGCCTGGTCGCGCAGGCCTAGTGTGTGAGAAGTCATGGCCTGACTTTTATTCCAGCCGTTCGCCTTCATAACAGCCTCGAACTGGATTTTTTAGGCTGACCAGGAAGAAGTCCCGTCGAACGGTGGCACCTTGAACCCACGTAGCGAAGGTGTAATAGCTACTGCGGGAGCTGTAGTTCCATCCCCAAGTTTGAGTTCGTCCAGTGATTTCCTCATGTCAGCCATTACGTTGTCAACCCGATTATTCACTTGGTCGATTCGGGTTTCAGCTTCCGACAGGCGGTTGTCATGTTGAGCAACCTTATCCTTCACCTCCCTTATCTCTTTCCCGAAGGTAGCGTGAAGGTCCTTCATGAGAAGCATCTGTTCCTCCTGTCGGCGGGCCTGTTCTTCCTGTCCGCCCCGCAGCTGCTCTTCCAATCGACGGGCCTGTGCCTCCTATCGGCGGGCCTTTTCCTCTTGTGCGCGCTGCAGCTGCTCCTGTAACATCGCCATCAGAGCACCTAAGTCAGGTGCTGCAGATGGAGGAGCTACTGACGGGCCCGCAGCCTCCGTGGCTGGCAGTTGGCCCTCCGACGTCTGAGGCGTTGCACCACCAAATCTCCTCTGGTCCGTCTCCTGTTGGCGTTGACTTCGGGTACGGACGCCCTCCGATTCCTCCTTCTCGGCATTATTTGATCCCACTTCTGACACCAATTGTTACGAGCTTGAGGTTCGTGACGGTGAAAACTGCTGATTGAATTACCAAAATCAACTCTTTAATTCACTTTACACTAATTAAAACTTAAAAGACTAATAATTAATCACACTGATTCATTTTATTCCGCTCCGAAGCTTCGCTTGTCTCGCCAAATTCAATACTTCCCCGATCGCACCTTGCAGCGCCTATAAATACACATTAGCACCGAAACATCCAGAAAATTCAAGTAAATACGCGCAAGGCGTCGAAAGTTCGAGTTTAGGCTTCTAGAAGCTTAGTTCTTCGTTTCGACACTAGATGGCGCTGTCGGTTGAAAGATTAGTGATGTCATTTTCTGGAAAGTTCCCCCCGCTCTTGTCCCTGACAAAACGTGACGGCAACTTAGGCGCGCACTACTTGTTAACTGGCTGAGTGAGGATAGCGGCCGTAAATTTCAAACTATATTGCAGATAAGTGATTGGTGTAGTGGTGCTATCGTCGGGCTCAAATATATAACATACCGACGATCAAATCCAAGACTCTACTTTGAGACCAAAGCTATTTTTCTCTTTTTCATTTTTGTTGAAACTTATAAGGACCTCAGCAGAGTTGAAAAAGCGTCATGGAAATGTTCCACCTGTATAAATGTTACTACTCGCCGCAAAGAGGATAACAATAACACCCCAGTGTCCGCACGTCGTCCTGCGCCGCTCGATGACTCCTTGACGATAGACGAAACAACGCATGCCAATACATCTGGCTCTAGTATTCCTATTCAGGAACCTGCACCTACCTCTAGTAACCTTACACTTAACAACATAGCCGAACTTCTTGACTCAAAGTTGAAGACTTTTAGGGAATCTTTCTTCTCTAATATGAAATCGTTCATCAAAAGTGTAATATTCGCTGCTACTGAAAAAACAAAACAAGAATTCACTGAAACGACAGATTTTTTGCAGTCAGAAAATAAAGATATAAAAGCTTCCTTATCATTTGTCGAAACTCACATCAGCGAACTAGAGAAACAAAATTGCGATTTCCTGAAAAATATAACGTCTTTGAAAAATCGTTTGGTATCTATGGAAAAAGTTTCGCGGAGCTGCAATGTTGAAATACAAGCTGTCCCTGAAAAGCGTAATGAAAATGTACTTGCAATAGTGAAAAACCATAAAACCGTGAACTTACAAATCGCTGATGATGAAATCAGTGTTTGTCGTAGAGTTGCTAAGTTACCATCTACTTCTGCAAGCCGTCCACGCAATATTCTAGTGAGTTTTCCATCAGCGCTACAGAGACAACTTAATTTCAGCGGTGAAACGTTTTAACAAAGCCAATCTTAAGGATCGGATAAGTTCAGTGCATCTTGGTGTTGCTGGTGAAAGATCCTTGATATATGTCAGTAAGCACCTGTCACCTGATTACAAGGAACTCCACTCAGCTACTAGAATAACATTACGGGGCAAATATAAGTATATATGGGTCAAATATGGCAATGCATACATCAGAAAAGATGATACGTAATCGGTTATACGTGTAAAAAATAAGGATTTCCTATCGAAGTTGTCATCCTAAGTTAATTATATATATATATAATAATTTTAATCGTATATTCTGTTTTCCCTTTATTTTTCATGTTAAGTTACTATCAAAATGTAAACCGCATGTGCTCTAAAACTTTGGAGTTTTATTTAGAACTATTAAAAAACGAGTTTTTATGTATTAGTATGTTTATCCGAAACTAATCTTGATGCTTGTATATATATTGAGGAATTTTTTGATGAACGTTACAACGTTTATCGTAGAGATAGGTGTGATTGCGTGTACACCAATAAAAAAGTGAGGGAGGAGGTGTTATTCTTGCTGTAAAAAAAATTTTTAATGTCGTGCGTCGCGGAACCTGGGACAGTGACTATGAGGATCTTTGGATACCTATACTCCCTAATGACAACGATGCGGATGCGATGGCGATAAACCTCTGTGTTTGTTACTTGGCTCCTTACTTACATCTTGATGATTTTGAAAGATTTATGGATTATGTTCAAAGTGTTGTTTTAAATAATGATGAACTGGGGTTTTTACTGTGTATTAGGCGATTTTAATATCCCACACATTGACTGGAAAAAGTTAAAAGTTCAAAAAGAATACTACTCCTTGGGGTTAAGTAAAAAAGCTTACTCTTTGCTTAATATAATGGCTATATGTAGCTTTAAACATTTTAATTTCTTAACAAACCGTAATGACCAAATGTTAGACTTAATTTTGGAAAATTTCGATGATGTGCATGTGACTGCAGCACTACCTATAATCAAACTTGATAGACATCACCCTTGCTTGCATATATCTATTGGACAAGAGCAAGCATTTAAACCCATCAGGCATAACCCAGTTAGTTTAAAACCAAATTTCTATAAATGTAACTTTATAAAGATAAAAAATCATTTAGTTAATACAAATTGGCAACATCTTTTAGCTGAGGCAAATGTAGATGATTCAGTTGAAATGTTTTATCAAGAATTAAATAAAGCTATTTTTCTTTATACACTTTTGCAGAAAAGTCCATCACATAAATATCCATACCAGTACAGTCCTGCTTTGATTCGTTGCATTAAAGAGAAACTAAAATTTCGTAAATTGTATAAAAAATTGGCATACCAAGAGATTACGATACTTTTAATTTATTGAGGAAAAGAAGTAAAAAATGAATAGAAGAGTGTTATAAGAAATTACTACGGAATGTGGAAAGCGACCTAAACGGTAATATGAAAGCCTTCTGGAAATTTGTCAAAAGAAAAAGAGCAAGTGTAAATATACCTGAATCCATGACTTAGGGATCTCACACCGCAAACAAGTTGAAGGACATCTGTGAACTCTTTTCCTCATATTTTTCATCTGTATATGACAAACCGGATAGATTTATATGTGAGAATATATTAATGTTTTCGAAACATTAATATATTCTCACATATACAGTCACGTTAAGCAGAAAATTTCATATATGCAACATGGCTTCATATCTGGTCGGTATACGATAAGCAATTTGCTCATTTTTAGTAATTACATCAGTACTGCTATCGTCGTCGTCAGGTGGAATCAATTTATACAGATTTCTCTAAGGCATTTGACAAGGTCAATCACGAGTCAGATTGTTGCGGTAAAGGTTATAACTCTGTTCCAGCAGCGGTCACGTCTGGTGTTCCCCAAGGATCCAATTTAGGGCCATTGTTTTTCATTATTTTTATAAATGATTTGGTTGACATAATTCGGAGTCACTGTTTACTTTATGCCGATGATATGAAGATATACCGGGTCATAAGTGACGTGAATGACTGCAATGCATTATAAAAAGACATAGATACTGCATCTATTGAAATAAGATTGGTGTTCTGCAAATCTTATGTCCTTAAATATCAGTAAGTTCTTAGTTACCACGTTCAATGCTAAACACAATTACCTGCATTTTAAATACAATATCAGTAGTCAGCCTCTAACACGCAAGGAGATTGTTAAGGATTTGGGAATATATTTCGATTCAAAATTTTCGTTTCGTCCACATTATGAGTTCATAACTCAAAAAAGTTTCAAAACTTTAGGGTTTATAATTCGTGTAACGAAACATTTCTCCAAATCTCTCGCATAATTTCGATTATTTTATACTTTAGTTCGTTCTGTACTGGAGTATGCTTCCACTGTATGGTCACCTTTTATAAGGTACATTCTGACAGTATCGAGAGGGTGCAGAGTTGTTTCCTTCGCAGTGTTTGCGGTAGATATGGTCACTTGCGTCGTCTGCCATCATATGACTCCCGACAAAAGGTTCTTAATATCCAGCGATTTTCTTTGAGGAGACAATTTGCCGAGCAAGCTTTTTGCACAAGATTGTGCATTGTCGTATAGAGTGCCCAGATTTACTAAGGCTAATTAACTTCAATTCCGGTATACAACAACGTGTTCAAAGAATTTTTAGGTTAGAAGTACACAAGAATAACACTTCCTTTTTCAACCCTCTTGTTAAAATGTGCCGTGATGATTTAATGTATTTATTATCTGTTTTATTTTTGCTAAGACTAAGATTATACTGTAGTTATATTATTATGCTGTGTAAACTTATTTGGATTGTAGTTTAGATCAACACAAATATACTTTTAATTTTAGATCTTTATATAACTACTGTCTGTTTGTGTACATTATTCAATAAAAGAAAATAAAAATATATAAATATTGTTTTATTTTTATTCATTGTTTCATTTACTAATAAATTTCATATAAAAATTGATCAATTTATTTATTTATCAATAATCAATAAATCTTAAATTTTTCGATCAACGTCGCAACCCTGTCCCATCACTATAGTTTGGAGCATTCTAAGTTTAATCTTGAATTATACAATCACAGCGCATTTGACACGATCCCGCAACTCATACATGCCGCGAAATTTGGTGAAATCGAAACAGAACAAATATTACTTGATGTATATATTAAGGAGTGATCTGTGTTTCGCGTAAACATAAGAAATCATTAACTTCATCTGAATAAAAGCTATAATCTTCATCTAGCAGCTTGAAAATTAAGTTTGTATCTACAAAAACCACTACGTCGATATTTGAATTTGAATTTATAGTTATTAGCGGTTTTTGATCCTAATCGCGTGCGGAGTTACTAAATATTATAAGTACTCAAAACGGATTGGTTTGCCATGTACGTGCTGCTTGATTTTATGTTCCAGATAGAGGTCTTAATTTTCCAAATGTATCATCAAGTGGTAATACCTGCGAATGAAATGTGGATGGTTGTTCCTCCTGTTCATACAGATTTGTAAATGAAATGCCCTTAACAGTTTTCAACAATCTTTCCGATGATGTAAGCATTTTCTTCACCTTCAGCCAATAATTTTCAATATGCAAGGTAGTTTATGTTGCCTACTTCGTCGTCAATACTGTTTACACCGCTAATATTTACATTATCGGGTGGTTTTATGTGACGGTCCTCATTTTCTTGTGCCGATATTTATAATATAGCGAACAATCGGCCAGTGAAAACACAACATAAAAATAATGATTAAAAGACTGAAAAAGACGTCAAAATGTTTTGGATTGAAAACAATCGACCAAAATTGGGTCGCTGATGTGTAAATATGGGTTAAAATGGAATAATTCAAAGAATATGAACCACCTCGATATAACATCGGATGTAGATGAAATTTATACGGGACTTCTTTAAAACTTTATGTTATATATATTTTATAGCTACTTTAAGATTATTTTTATAAAATATAGAGTATATATAAATATATAGCTTAAAATGTTATAAAGGGAGATTGTGAATTATGTCAGTGTGTGTCTGAAAGGTAATCTCCGGAACTATTGCACATAATATTTGAAAAATTCTCTTACCAGTTGCAAAATACATTACTTCAAACAGACATGGGCTATATATTTATTATATTATGCCCAATTTTTATGACGATGTTCATCAACGATGTCGGGAAAAGTCGTGACTTGAGAGCTTCCATGACGCGCGCTATGTCATTAGTTAAAATTGCACGAAAATAATGTTTTTATGATGGAGTTTTAAGCAACGTTCCTAATATTAAAGATAGATAGTTGTTCAATCAGGGCAAATCCAGGGAGAGTCGTTAGTAATTTACAAACTTTGGAGATATCGTGATACATTAAAATAGGAATTAAATTATAATTTTAAACTCCATATTTTTAGGTTAATTTAAAATAATTACAGGGTTTTAAAAATAGTCATACACATAAACATCACGCTTGTATTCTTGTGAGGGCAGGCAGAGTTCAAAGAGCAGAGAGCCACTTGAAATAAGTTTATCCAAAAACATAGAAAATTGCGCAAGAGGCTATACATGGTTAGACCATCGCCTATACAATCACAAACGCAATATACCCTTAATCGCCTTTTTGGACCTGCTAGGCAAGTTACACCGTTGGCATGTTCTATTTGTGAAAAATTTGAAACCTATAAGTCTCCAACCAACATGGGATGAAAACAATGCGTTTTATTTTTATCAATAAAATTAGGTATGAATTTTGCTTTGCGGTTTTACTATCCCGTGATCATATATGAATATTTCGATTGTTTAATTGTCTTATTCGCGGACACGGAATTTGTTAAAATATCACACATTAAAAATGCCAGATAAGTAAGAATATCAACTCCCGTAGAATACAAAAAGTAGTTGGAAATATTATGCTCGCTCACGCTCAGCAGAAAAGCATAAAGAATTCTTAGAATTCGAAACTGGGCCATCGCGCACAAAGTATGTCCGCACTCTAAGCAAATTAAAACAACTAACGTGACGTAACGT